CAATGGCGAATTTAGACTTTTCAGGGCCTTTTTTTATGTGTCAGAGCGTGAAGATGACTAAAAAAAACTTTTTTTTTTTTAAAGTTGATTTTAGGTGCGCCAAGAAGTCCTTACGGTCTTATCACAGAGCACAGCGGAAGAGCATTAATAGGAAGTTCACGCCTCCTTCCCAACCGATGTCACAAAACTTGCGTAAATATTTTTTAATTAAATTAATATTTAGAACTTGCTCAACTCATTTTAGAGTTCAAAATGCACACGGTTCTACCATTTTTTTAATCAATTGTAAATGCATGTTTTTAGTTATTGTGTTATGTGACCTACAAAAGCAGACATCTTGGTTGTAAACATCACTAAAGTATATCTGAAATACTGGTTTGAAAGTCCAGCTGCAAACTGTGCTCCACGACAAGACCTTGCACTGCTGTGTACTTTATCTGAATACCTAAACACTGAAATTACCAAAGCTGCCACAACAGCCTTTGAGCGCCACCACTGGTATATCTCTAAAACTCTTGTTACCTTTGGCTTTTTTGATGATGTTGTCACTATAGAGAAAAAGTGCTCAATGGTTGTGGCACTCAAAGAAGTTGAAAGCTCAGATGAGCCTCTAAAACGAATTGAGCCATTTCAGCATCCAACTACTAAGAAACTTCACAACTTTGTTACAAAGAACACTAGCTATTTTTCCATGATTCTTGACATATTCTAGGAATTCTTGCAGGTCGATCCCAGTGGTTGGGAATCTCAACCAGAGTATCAAGAAAGCAAACATTTTGTGCCATCTCTCAAAATTGTCAATTTCTTGACTAAATGTGGGGTTGCATTGATTCAAGAGTTCAACTCGAGTTTGACACGCAATGAAGAACAGAAGCAATATCAACTTCAAGTCGTCAAGGACCACAGAAAAAACTTTTCGGCACCAACTAAGTCCTCAGCAGTTGATGTCAAGTTACAGTTGATGGTCTATAAATGATAGGATTCAGATGATTATTGAATATTAATTTTAATCATTTAGATTTTGACTATAAACAAATTTTCAGATAATAACTTATCTACAACTATCATAGGTGTGTTCTGCAGGTTTATTTGCAAGTATCATAGGTTTCGACTGAAATATTTAAAACTTTGAGACCGTTGAGCAACTCCTAAATATTGTTATTTTCTACCAATTATTTTTTTTACAGCTACTCTATAACGATCATCATGTAATGGAGGCTGGAGAACACTATGCTGATACTTTCATTTTTTAGAAGCACCCTACTAAGGTAAGCAATATGACGTCATACTGAAATAGCCTGCTGCTGGGGGCTTCAGTATCAACTGACAAATAGCCTGATTCGCAGTGGAGTGCTCATTCTTCGTTTTTTTCTTCTTTTTCTAAAAAAGCGGTATGGATTAAGGTAAGCAAAAATAGTGAGCAACTGCTTATAAAAATACGCTTTAGTAAGTGTGTGTGTGTATATATATATATATATATATATATATATCAGGCCTTGTTAAGAAGCGTTTCCCTATTTGAGTTTTACGTATGTATTCACGGTTTCACATACGCATTTAGCAATTTACGTTAAGCAATAGCTTTTTTCAATAAGTTTATTTTAAAAAGTCTTTTAAAACAGATTAAGCGAAAAACATTAAACTGTAATTAATTGTTGTAAAAAAACGTTTGTGGAATTTTTTTTTTAAGATAAAAAATAGATAGATATCCTTTTTTCTATTTTCCATTTTTAAAAAAAAAATTTAATTTATTTTATTAAATTTGAATTAATTTTATTATTATTCATAGTTTTGGTAATTTATTTGATTAAATTTACCGGTTTTTGCATTTAATCTGGTTGATTTTTGCACGAATCTGGCAGGTTTTTTCATTTAATCTGGCGGTTTTTTGCATTTAATCTGGTGGTTTTTTGCATTCAACCTGGCGGTTTTAAAATTTATATCAATTTTATAATGCATGTTATGAATTGCATAAATTATAAGTAGTAATAAATATTCTACATACTCCAGTTAAAAATAAATTTAGACGTGTAACAAATAATATATATATATATATATATATATATATATATATATATATATATATATATATATATATATATATATATATATATATATATATATATATATAAAATCACTTATCAAACTTTTTTCATTTTACACTGAGTTTAATAATATATATATATATATATATATATATATATATATATATATATATATATATATATATATATATAAAACATACAAGTTCGAAAAAACAAGTTTTAAAAAATTATTACTTTATTCTCTATTAATGTCATCTCCATTAACACATTGTGTGAGAAAAGATTCACAGCGTCTCACGAAGTTTGAAAGATCATGTTCAGTAACGTGCTCACAACCGTTCCTCATTCGTTCTAACAAATTGTTATTTCTGATCAGAGCTATTTGTCCTCTTGTAGTATTCTTAATTTTTGAGAATGTCTCTTCACAAGGATTTAGAAAAGGTGAGTATCGGGGTAAAAAACAAATTTCATAGGGATAACTACCATAAAAATCTGATAATGAATGATGAAACTTAATGTTGTCCATCACCAAGGTAAACTCTTCTTCTTCCCCCAAAATACTTTTAGACGTATTTAAGAATCCTTTAAAGATTTCTGCTGTCACCCCTACGCCAATTATTGCTTCACAGTGGACTATGTTTAAACATATTAATGCTAATATCATAGTTATGTTATGGCTTCTTGATGATAACACACATTGATTTAGGGTCGTTCCTCGGAGACTGTATCCATGGTTTCTTATCATATGAAGATTGAACGGACTTTCATTGATGCAAATGATATTTCTGTAGCGTTGTTGCAATGTCAAGTTTAAATACCATGAAACCAATGTTTTTCTTTCTTCTTTTACCTCTGCACTATTCCATCTTTCACTAATGGGTCTTAATATCTTGTATGTATAATTCAATTTTTTTAACCATCGCCATAATGTAGAAACATTGACATCAAGTCCCAGTTCTACCTTTAACTCCTGTAGATTATAGTTTTGTTATCTCGAATCAATTTGTGTAGCTTATTTCTTATTAGTACAACCTGACTGTTGAAAACCACCTCTAATACCAGGATTGATATTACCTGTTGATAAATATCGATGGACCAGGCGTCGTATTGAAGTCTCACTTCTATGCACGAGTTCCGATACTTATTTCACACTTTTCCCTTCGTTAATTACAGCATTAATGATCAAATTTCTTACTTCAGCATTAATCTCTGAGCATTGTCTTTGTGCGTTATTCATTTTAAATTTTTAAAAAATTTAAGAGAAAACGGGCTTAAATTGTACATAAGGAAGTTAAATTAAATAAAGCAATAAAAACAAAACTGTTTATCATGATAAAGAAAAACCACCAGATTAAATGCAAAAAACCACCAGATTAAATGCAAAAAACCGACTGATTAAATGCTAAAAACTGCCAGATTAAATGAAAAAACCTGCCAGATTCGTGCAAAAATCCACCAGATTAAATGCAAAAACTGGTAATTAAAATTCTTTTAAAAAATTTAAAACGCTCCGTTGAACAAAATTTTTTACTGATAAAATTTCCAAAATTCATGTTAAAGTAAAAAAAAAATTTAATAAATTTATTTCAAGTAACTTTAAAATGTTTGCATTACATATAACTTTATTTTAATTTCAGTTAAGTTCTAGTTCCAAATACTGGTCTCAATAATGCGGTTTTGTAGTTAACAAATGATGCCATACTAAAAAGTTCTTTTTAAATGTTGTTTGGGTTTTTCCTTTGCCATTAAGTTTTATGCAGTAGAATTTTTTTATAAAACAAACCAAACTTTAAACCGATTAAAAATAACGCGATCAATAAATAAACTCTTTAAAAGCCCAACTAATATTTAATTTGTTTTAAAAACAAAACTAATACTAGTTATATAGATACAAGATACTTAAATTTTAAAATTATACTGACATTTGTTAAAAACAAGTTCTGCTAATAACATCTTATAACCAAAAAAACTATTTTTCTTTTGGAGTTAGTAAGAAATAGTAAAAATACTTTAGGTTTTACAGTACATAAAAATAAAATATTTTAATGGAAATAAAAAAAAGGAAATTATTTTTTAAACAACATTTAAATTTAATTTATAACATTTTTTTATAACAATATTATTAATTTAAAGATATTTCATTTAAAAGACTTACAATAATTTCTAATGTGTTTTTGAATTAAAATACAATGAGGTATTTTAAAATACGCAACTGACGCAATTAAACTTTTAACGATGTAAATATCTTTATTTAATAAAGACACATTTATTCAGGTTGCACTTTTCCGTTCCGCATCAAAATCTTATAACAAGGCCTGATATATATATATATATATATATATATATATATATATATATATATATATATATATATATATATATATATATATATATATATATATATATATATATATATATATATATATATATATATAAACAGAAGTCAGACAAAGTTTGAAAGATAAAATGAGATATCAGTAGGCAATACTGACGAAGCATAAATAACTAGTGTACTGTGTGATAGAGTCAAGTTACTCAAACACATCCATAATTTCAAGCTAATCACTTAATATTTCTGATATCAAAAAGATCTATTTATAAAAGTAAATAAAAACCTTACAGTAGATATTTCCATTATGTAAATATAGATTATATATTATGCAACAATTCAAAAGAGGTAATACAAAGTAAATGTGTAATGTATAAAAATGAGAAAAACAGTAAAAAAAAAATCTTATATAATTTTATATCTTGTATATATATTATTTTTTTATATCTTTATTAAATATTACTTTTATTACATATTTTGTTTTTGTTATATATCTTATATATATTTGATTTAATAAGAGCACCTTTTAAATGTTACAAGAGTAAATGAAAATGATAAAAAAGTATTTTATTAATTGTATTTTACCGAGAAAAACTATAATAACCTGCCTAAATAATAATAAATACCTGTCTAAAATATTCTTCAGCTATCCTATAAGCCCATTCTCGACAAAGTTCTAATGGACGAGCAGGGTTTGCAATGTCTGCACATTTGATTATCATTCTACGAACAACCCCTCGATTTTCAGGTGATTGTAAATTTATAGATGACACTGATTCTGGAGTACCTCTACCGTTCTAAAAAAATTTACCTATAAAATTTTTGATTCCCTAGGTGAAATTTAAAATCAGAAAGGGTATATAATACATACTGTTGATAAGTTGTCATGGTCATAAACAGGAGTTGCATGACGTTTATTAAAACTATTATCAAATTTTGCAAGATGTTCAAAATGCTGTTTCATTTCAGTTGCCATAATCATATCTATGATTGACTGGCGTAAAAGTTTAAACTCATCTCTGCAATAAAATTTAAAAAAATAAATTACAACATAATAATGTAATACTTAGGTTACATACTTTCAAAAAAAGAAGTTATAATGAATTTACAATTTATTTTGCAATAATTACTGTTCTGTATCTTGCTTATTCATATGAAATTTCTAACTATAATCTGAAAATTTCTGATATAACTATCTACTTTGAATTTAAAAACTTACTGTTTAAGATTCTGAAATATATTTGATTTGGAATCTCTTGAAGTAAGTTTGAATGCCATAGCAGCATGGTGACTTTCCAAAATGGCACTATTAATGTAGTTAAAGAATCATTTGAATATATTGGAAAAATAGAATTAAAAGTTAAAATTAAAATTTAAAATTAAAAGAATACTCAAATAAAAATGGTAATAGGTCTAAAAAGAATGAAGAAAAAAATCTGAGGCAGCTCAACAGGATTAATCATTTATTAGGATTAATGTAAGCTCTACACTGTTTATTGAAATTTTTCTTAAAAAATTATTTTATTTTTTATTTTTTTAATAATTTTTTTTTAGTTTATTAAATAGCCTAAAAACTTCAGGTATAGTTATTGAGATTATTTACTTTAATTTTGTATAATAAATAAAAATTTTTTTGCTCAACAGATAATATTCAAAAAATCAAACCACTCTATATGTGAAAAATGAGATTTTCTTTCTGTTAGATCAACATCATATGCACATAACATAATGGTATATTATGTGAAGAAAATATAAATATTTTATTTAACAATATAGAACTTAAAAAATGAGAATGTATCGTGCAGTAAAAATATTTCACTTCAAGGTGACTCTTATATATGATTATAATTCATAACATTTTTAATAGCAATCAAAATCTGCCTACTTTAAAATGGAAAACTTTTGAATATGGTTTAACTAATGAAGTCTTAATTATAATATGATGTAAATAATATTATTTTGAATAATGCAGTCAAGTAAATAATTCTGAACATGACAGTATTTTATAATATAATGCTTATTTAATATTTTGCACTTATAATGCTTTTAATTATATTCAGTATTTTACTTATATATGTTATGTATATATATATATAAGTAAAATACTGTATATTTTATATATTGTATATTTTTAAAGGTAAAGTTAGTACAAAATGAGTAAAGATTATCTTTTACTTGTCGGAAATTAAAATTAAGGAATAAAAGAGTATAACTACAAAAAAAATTTAAACCTTCAAAACTAGGAACAAGTCTATAAGTTTATGAAATAATAATCATAATGACTTACATATCATTATAAAGAATAGCAAGCTCACTGCCAGCATTACATAAGAACGAATTTGTGAATCCAGGGTGATCAACATCATGAACCACAGCAGCTATCAGAGCTGCAACTTGGTCAGATCGATCAAGTGTATTCTATGTGAAAAAATATTTTATTAATATAAACTATATGATAGCAATATAAAGTTTATTTAAGTAGTATATGTAGTATTTGGTGTAAAGTTATCACGAATTTGGTGTAAAGCTATTACAAATTGCACATCAAAGTATTAAGCCTTCAGGGCTAGAGTATACAATATAGGTTAACATAAAGTATTGAGATCAAAAACAATAACAGATTGTTATTTTTAATTTCTTACCAACTTATTTAAGAAACAGTTACTACAGCTGTAACTACTTATAAAAATGATCAAACAATAAAACAAGAGCGCCAATTTTTTTTTTTTTTACTATATATATATATATATATATATATATAATCAATTGTTTTAATATATACATTTTTCATTTACAAAAGAGTGCTATCATCTCAAAATATATTTACTCTGTTAATCAAAAATATTTGGAATATATTATGGACTATAAACTTTATTTAAATTGATTGGGTCTTAAAACATTATTCTGACCAATCATATACTCACTGTATTTCTTATTAATCAAATTATTTAAGAATTTTTAGATTTCAAAGCTTTTTATAATTATGTTTATTTTGACTATTAAACACATGTGCTATTGCTTACTGTTTGGACTGTTAATACTAAATATTTGCATTTTGTTTTCTCCTACTTCACAATATTTTTTTTTTTCCTACTTCACAATAATGGTATTTGTTATGGTCTTTTGACTGTTTTTTATTTTATTTATAATAAGTTACTCCATTTTAAAATAATTTCAGGTTTTGCCTGTTTTTTATACTTTGTTACACTTTGACTGGTTAGCATTATTCAAATTAGATAACTATGACAGCATCAGAGTTTAAGACATAATACTAATTTGTTTACATTCTTATTCATCTTATATAGTTATATATTATATATTTAGTTGATACTTGTTTCATATTGTTCATATGAAATTTAACTATTTATTTTGCATTATTTTTTACTTTTTCTTTTTTTGTATTATTTCTTCAAAAATACTGTTCCTATACAAACACGGTTTTTTTCTAGTAAAATTTTATTTACAACAGTATAAAACATGGGGTAAAGCATGACACAACATTCATGAAAAATTTAGACATCAAAAGATGACACTTATTTGACAGGATAAACTAATTATCAACCTCTTGCCAGAAATACTAACTGGAGTTCTGAAATGTTTACAGCCTCTTACATTACAAATTACATTTATGAAAAATCATTTTTTCTTTTCTTATGCTTTATATCATTTTGAGTTCATTTTATTTAACTGTTAATACATACACTATAGTTTTCTAAACAATAATTGTTTAACACTTAAGTTCATCATTTAATTAGGATTTCAGAGATTTACTCTATATGTTGTTTATATACTTTGTTTCTTGTTGAATGTTTTTTATTCCTATAAAGTAGGTATGGGAAACCTTTGACATAGTGTGGGTCAATCTTTAGTGTGCAAATACATTTGTGGGCTGCATTTAAAAGTACCGCAATTTAAAGTAGTACTTTAATGAAGTAAGTCATAGTCTTTTAACGATATATATCAGGCATGAAATAATAAGACATTGCTATTGTAATAATTTATTCAAATAAGAAAATTAAATTAAAAAAATAGATTCATCAATGTTAGGATTAAATCCACCGATACAAAGACGTAAAGAATTTTCTAAATTTACAACAGTCTTCCTTGTTTTTAAAACCGCTAAATCTGTTCGAAAATTGCTCCGACAGTAACTTGAGTTTTTTTAGCATATTGAGCAAAAGCAATACTTTCATACAGAAAGACTGTAGCGAAATGATAACTGTTACCAGATAGCATCTGCTCCTCTAACAAGCGGATTTTGTTATGAAATGGTTTCAAATGTCTGTACAAATCATGTACTAACTGAAGTTTCAAATTTATATCATTCAAATAGTCTGTAAGGTCGACCAGAAATGCTAAGTCACATATCCATTTTGGGTCACTCAATTTAGATAGTGGTTTATCTTTTTTTTGCATAAAATCTGCAATCACATTTCTTATCTCATAAAAGCGTTTCAGCATTTTCCATTTGTATAGCCATCTGACTTCACAATAATATGTTATGTCATCATATTCGGTTGATAGTTCATCCAAAAACGCCTTGAACTGACAATGGTTAAGCCCTCGGGATCAAATAAAATTGATGGTTTTTATGAACACATTCATAACATTCTATAGTTGAATGGACTTTTGGTGAATAATGCAATGAAAGACTATCAAATCATGTTTTTGCATGTTTAATTCAGTTGCTTTTTGATTTAAAATTCCAATAAAACCTTTATGCAAGCCAACCATAGAAGCTGCACCGTCTGTGCATACTCCAATTAATTTTGACCATGGCAGGCCAAAACTTGTGAATACCTTTTGAACTTCATTAAAAATGTCCTCTTCTCTAGTGGTTCCTTTTAAGAAAAGCAAGCAACTCCTCAGTTAAAGTGAACTCTTTATCAACACCTCAAATGAATATAGCCAGTTGAGCTGTGTCTGACAAATCAGTGATCTTGTCTAATGCTATCGAAAATGACTCAAAACCAGCCATAGGATTAGTCAATTTTTTTTTCTATCAATAGCCATCATTTCTATAGGTTGGACAACAGTTCGTCTTGAGAAACTAACTTTTTCAAAATAACTTTTTTTTTCAGGACACACAACACTACAAATTTGTGACACTCTTTGATTAATTCTCCTTTGGCAAATGGTTTTAATGACTTTGCCAATTTAGAACTAACTATAAAACTAGCTTTCACAACATTATCAGCAAATGTTTTTTGTTTAACAAACGTTTGCTGCTGTTTTTTTTTAATTTGTGGTAAGTTTTTGGATTTTGTCTTTTCTTGTTTGACCAGTCAGTGAGTGAAGTGTAGGATACTTAGTTAAGTAATGCCTCTTTATATTAAACTCTTTCATCACTGAAATTGATTTATTACAAAGTAAACAAATAGGCTTACCATAGTGCAAGAAAAAAAAGAATTCTTCAGTCCATTTTTCTTGAAACTGGTGACCCTCTTTATCTACTTTTCTTTTCTTTCCACCAGACATCATTTTCGTTTACTTTTAATTCAATAAACCTAACTCATTCCTTACCAGCAGTTTTAACAAAAAACTTTGCGCACATTTTTTTTAAATTTGGATGACATAACATTGCAAAGTAGTTGAAACTCAAATAGTAAATCTCTTTGAAAGTATAACAAATTATATATCAATAGAAAGCTAAACAAATTAACTTTTTAATTATATACATTTTAAACACGTTTCATTTAACAACAAGAAATACAAAGTGCTTAAAACTACTGTATTTATAAATAACAACCATATTAATTCCGACCTCGAGATGCACCAAAATTTTTAATTGGGTTTTTCAAAATGTCTTGAGGGCTGGATCAAAACTCGCAGCAAGCCAGATGTTGCCCACATCTGCTATAAAGATTGGTATCAGCATCAGCCACAAATGTGCAATCAGTACATCACTAATAGACAATAAAATAACAAAAAGAAAAAAAATTATAAAAACTTTATTGAAAATTTCTCAAATGACCACCACATAGATTTTTAAGATAACAATTCAAATGATTGTGGAGTAAAGTAAACTTTTTTGCAAAATACATGAAATTGACATTTTTTTAAAACTCCTAAATTGGTCTCCTATTTTGTATTCATTGCAAAAGGATAATATAAAAATAACAAAAAGAGTCATTTCTAATTTGTGATTATAAAAAAAGCTTTTTTATAATCACAAATTAGAAAAAGAAACCTCAAATTCACACAAATTAAATTCTTAGAAAAAAAACTCTAGGGTAAACACCTCATTAAACAGATATTTTCATAAAAAGAAAAAACTAAGCTAAATCAAAACGCAAAGATTTTATATTGCTAGAAAGCTTTTCCTGAAATTTGTTGTTCACTTTACGAAATTTAATATTTTTAACTAAATTAATTATATCATTTTCAAACATAGCCATTTCTTTTATATGTGGAGGACATTTTGCAGATTTAATGCCATAGTTTTTCAAGCCTAACTCTTCTCCAAACCATGGAGAAGAGTTAGGCTTGACTTGGAATTGTCAAGAGGGAATAAAAGATTTCATGCCAGCCTGAATCCAAGATGTTACATAAAAAGCACTTAAGTCTGCAGAAAGACGTAGTTTAAGGGAGATTAATGAAAAAAACTCAAAAATAAAAGTTTGTTTTTATTTTATTATAATGATTGACTTTTTAAGCTTGTAGCAAAGATCATAAAAATATAATTTAATTCTGATAAAAAATATACAATTTAATTTAAAACTAATTTAATAAAAATATATAATTTTATTATGATAAAAAAAATATACAATTTAATTTTGATTTTAAAAATATATTTTTAAGTTTATTGAAATTAAAGTTAATGTTTGGGTTTAACTGTCAAATTTATTTAAAAATATTACTTAATATTATTCAATATTGAAATTTTATTTGTTCTTAAAAAAAAATTAGCTCATTTTCATCACAACTGTTTTTTCAGTTTTCCACTCCTAAACATTTTTTTTTGCACAAAACTATTGAACTATAAACTAATATATAGTAAATGATTTATAACATTTAAATTAAATAAATATCATTTGTTTAATATATGAAGAAAACACAATTTAGAATTAAATTTATCAACCTAACTATCAGTATAGACATTTTGACTGCATTTGAATATATTGATTACAATATGCATTTTGTATGATAGTAACATGCATTTTAATATATTAATTACAATATGCACTTCAATATATTGATTACAAAATGCATTTCAAAATATTGGTTACAACATGCATTTCAATATATTGATTACAGCATGCATTTCAATATATTGACTACAACATGCATTTTAATAAATTCATATTTTGAGTATGTATATAGTAAACAACACAACCTTTTTTATATATATTTTTATTTATTTATGTATATAATCAACTTTATTATTTATTATGTATTAATTTACATATATGGCCAATTTATTTTGGTCATCAAGGTTTTTATATATATGGTTATTATTTATATAATACGATCAATACAGGCAAAATATTTGATAAAATCTAGTTCTAAACTTGACTGGATTGAAAAATACCATTTGATTGGAAAGTCCTGTAGAAAATAGTTTGAATTCTTTTGATATACTTTTTTTTCTTTCTAAATTTTGATTTATTCATTAATAGAATGCCAGCTTAAGCCATCAAATATGTCAAAAATTGGTGCACAAAACGAGGGAAATTAGCACACGTTGATAATAAAACTATTGCACATAATGAAAGAGTAATCAAAAAATATACATAAAGTATGTGACAGAAAAGGTAAATTCATGTATATAGATTGAAGATAGCTTGAGTCAACTTTATTTGAACAAAAAGGTATTTTAAAATATAATATAAAAACAGATATATATATATATATATATATATATATATATATATATATATATATATATATATATATATATATATATATATATATATATATATATATATATATATATATAGAATTCTCATTTATATAAATTTATTTATGTTACTTCCTCTGACAAATCATGTAAGAATTTTTGTTTGATGAAATCTTTGTGAAGGAAAAAGACCTTTCAAGTTGCTTCAATTTGAAATAACCCATTTTGAAAAACACATATATCAATATAAAACAAATTTACTAATATATTATGTAATAAACTAGTCTTAAATCTTTTAAAAAGTCACAGGTAAAATTCACTTTTATTCTAAATCTGTTGTAGATAATGAGATAATATTGTAAAAACAATAAAAATATTCTGCTGATGTTGGTCAATAATGAATAAAATATTAATCAAATACCTATGTAATTTATCAATTACTGCAGCCAGTAATTAATAAATAAAAACCTTCATGCTTACTTTCTTTTTAAATTCACTTCTATTTCTACAAATTAATATCACTTTTCTCTGTTAGTCTGGTAATATTAATCTTCAACTAATATAATAATTAAAACAAAATCATTGGTATCAATAAAATGCCAAACGAAAACTTTTTTTGTTTTGTTTTACATATTATTGAAGAGAACAAAATTCTGTCTAATGAAAAAAAATCTGTTTTCCATCAAAAATAAATGAAACTTTTTGAATGTTGACCAAAATTAGACTAACTTACTCTATGAATGTTAACTTTTTTCAAATTTTGATAATTTCAATTTTTTTTCAATTAAAATAGAAAAAATACAATACAATTTAAGTTTTTATTATAACTATTTTAAAATATTGATTAAATCTTCCTTTAAATAATTCTTTTAGTATTTATGCATTGTTAAAAGAGATACATCTGCTCAGTTGTTACCTTGGCTGGAATGTCAATCTTTTATCTACTCATATTAGACTCATATTACTCATATTAGGTTTCATATAAATTAATTTTGGTATCTATGAAGACACTTAATTAAATAATTTGTGGCCATTTTACCAACTTTGAAAAAAATGATTTGAGTATTTGAGAGATTCTAAAAATTAATTTTAAGTAAGACTATTTAATTTTGGAAACCAATGTGCTAATTTTACCCTCAAAATTAATATCACTAATTTTATCTGTACTGACCCATATAACTTACATAATAACATATAATTTACATAATATCCATTTAAGTTTCTAGAAAATGAAATATATTTCGCATAACAATTAGCATAACTTACATTATAATAACTTGCATAAAACTGAAAAAACCTAAAGCTTTACACAGAAACAGTGAATGATTTTATGACAATGACAAGTAGCAACCAAATTTTAAAATCATATAAATCGCTAAACAAACAACAAACCTTAACACCATCTTTTAATAAGAATATTGAAGTTGCATGTAGTACATCTGCAGCATGCGTTGAATTATGATAAGTATTATGAATATGATAATTAGCTTCAACTAACTACAAGCAGAAAGAAAATAACTTTGAATAATCAACTACAAATAATAGGGATTAAGTAGTGATGTATTTTAGTACCATTTGTATTTGTCTAGAATTAACACAAATACCAGACAAATGCAAATTTCAATTTTTTTATACTAATAATTATTTTCAGCAGAGAAAAAAGACTGAATATAAAAAGCTGCATAAGTAAATATTCCTATCCCTACTGAACTTTAATTATTGAGTTGTTCAGCATTTGTAGAAGAAATTCAAATTTCTTTAAAGAAAATGAGAAAAAATAAAGATTTTTTTATGAAATAAAATAAGCACTATTTAAGGGTGAACACCACATCATATTTTCTTCAAATTACAAGTAAAACGAAATTAAATTTTCACTAAACTTGATATCAAAAAATTTACCTGAAGCCAATTTCTAACTATTGAATCTGAAACACACAGATATTCCCCAACATCAAAACGATTAAAAATAGCTTGTCCTAAGTAGTAGAGAGGCCTAAGAAGAAAATTTTAGCAATATATAACACAGCCACAAACCCAAAAATTTTAATCTACTCAAACAAATTATTTAACTATTTATATATATATTTTAAGAACTATTTACTTATAAATAAAAAAAATATTACCTAAATTTAAAAAAAAAAGTTAAAAAATTAAATATAAAATAATGCATAACCATAACTATTTAATAAATTTTAAAAAAAAGTTAAAAAATTAAATATAAAATAATGCATAACCATAACTATTTAATAAATTTATTACATGATCATAATTTTTATTCAATAAATTTATTGCATGATCATAATTTTTTTTTTTTTTAATTCTGATTCACTTCCAACAAGGCTGCAAGTAATTAGTAAGTTATTAATAAAGTTAGGAGTTACTAGAAAAAAATAGTTAAAAAGTTGACAGAAGACTTAAAAAGATGGTTGCACGAATCAGGAAAACATGAAGATGGAAGAGTTCCAAAGGGTTGAAGTACGGGGAAAAAAATTAGACAAATGTTTTTAGAGCATGCAGGGACATATACAGTAAAAGAATGAAATTTTGGAAAAATTGGAACTAGAGATGATAGCTCCTTTAAGCAGTGACCATGATAGTATTTGTAAAAAAGAGAAAGAGAGACTTTACAACAATGGGAAAGAGGCTAAAGCCTCTTTTTAATTGTTGAAACAAAAAAAGAAGTCAGTAGTAAACAATAGTCCAAGAAAACATAAAAAGAGAACTCAGTGAGAGGGTTGCCATTCATTAATATAAAAATGTCGATAGTATTGCAATAGTTGTTTGCAGTAAAGTACCTAAATTTGCAGTTTGCACTAAATTTTTTTTGAGTTATAATTCACAAGCCAATGTGAACCCTAATATTTTTCAGAAGTGAAATCAGATTCAAGATCAACTGCCTGTTCTAAGCGTTCGAAAAGAGAAGACTTTTTGTTAAGACAGGAGTATAAAGTTGAGTCATTAGCAAAAAGAGCTACTTTAGATGTAAGGTTGTCAGGAAGATCATAAATGTAAATAAGAAACAAAACAGGACCAAGGATAGAACCTTGAAGTACTCCAGAAGTTACTGAAAATAAAGAAAAGCATTGGCCTTCAAAGATGACTTTATCAAAGCAGTTAGAAAGAAACAATTTGATATCTCAAAAACTTTTCCATATACACCATATGAAACAAGATTAGGGAGAAGACCAGCATGCCAAACTTTGTCAAAAGCCTTAGATATGTCAAGAGCAATAGCCCTAGCCTTTCTGCCTCCAACTAACGCACAATAAAATCTTCAGTCACAGCAGTTAGCAAGTCTAATAGAGGGTGAGGATTAAAAACTGTATTAATTGTCTGGAAGTAAGTTATTTGACTTAAGACATGATGTGAGAAATTTATTTATCAAAGACTCAAAGACCTTGCTAATAACAGAAAAAAAAACTGATCAGATGATAATTGAAGGGGTCAGAATGTTGAAAATTGGAACAAAGTATACTATTTTCCAGCAGGCAGGAAAACAAGACTCAGTCAAGCACTTATTAAATAATTTAGAGAGAACTGAATAGAATTCTGGAGAACATCTTTATAAAATTATGGCAGGAATGTAAGCCATAGAAGAGCTTAATCGAGATATGACTTTAGCAAGGTAAGCTGGAGTGATTTAAAGGTCTGAAATGGGTTAAACTGTTTAATTGGATTGGAATGAAGAGAATGGCCATAAGATTTGAGAGTCAAATTAGAAGAAAAGTTTTTTGCAAACAGTTCTGCCTTGGAAAGGGTAATAAGATCAGTCTCATCAACTGCAAATAGTTCTGCCTTATCCTTGGGAGAGGTAATAAGATCAGTCACACAAATGAGAGATGGAATGTTAGTTACCTTTGACGCTGTTGAAGATTTTCCAAAAGTCTCTAGAGTCTAACTTTTGAGATAAGATACAAGGTTTATAGATTATTAGGGAGATAAGATACGAGATTTAGTGAATTTGAATAACATAGCTTAGCTTCTGATAGCACATTTTTACATCAATTTCTACCAATAACGAATAGCTGTTTATTCTCAAGAGAGTTGTTCTTTTAAAAAAGATGAAAAAAGTGATTATGATTAGATAAAGCAGCTGCACAAGAGGGCGAAAACCTTTGAGTAGAATGAGGCTTGACCTGGAACCAACAAGAAGGAATAAAAGTTTCCATTCCTGCCTGAATACAAGAGGTTAGGTAGAAGGCACATTTTTCAGCTGTGAGGAAAAAAATATCAGCTTAAAGACTGACATGAAGAAAATCATGAAAAGAATCCCAGTCAGCTTTAGGATAGTAGTAAGTAGTGTGATGATAGGGTGAGTCCAAAAAAAATTAAAGAGATCATTGCAAGGTCAGAACCACCTAAAGGAGAAAAAGGAGTAACTGAACACAAGCTGGGATCAGAGACCAGACATAAACCAAGGAATGAAAGTAAAGGATTAGGGTTGTCAGGAAAATAAGTCGCAAAATTAATTATCTGAGTAAGAGGTTGAGAAATGTTTAAAGAGAACTTGACTCATTAAAGATAGAGCACAGCCTAAAATAGCAATGAGCTATGCAATTTTCTCAGTCCTGTTAATTAATCCATAACATATTCTGTTAATTAAGTCATAACATAGGGCTCCTTGTGTAGCCTTGACAATGCACACCAAAAGTATTAACAGGGCGCAACACTGTTAATACTCTGATATTTTGCAGCTGTTGATGGAATCAGCTTCTCTGAGAGCTACCTAAGAGTTTGGAAACCTTACAACCAGCCAACCTCAGAACCATTAAACTGAGTTGTAGAGCTATACCTTTATTAGGAGATAACAGGAAGTGTTGCATAGCCACTATCAAGGAGGCACTAGCAAAAACCTATGAGTAGAGTCGAGAAGATCCAGCATTCATCATCCTAGACATGAAACAATGTAGCACAGGTTTACATCTACACCAGCCTAATAGATGAAGAAGGCGTTTGAGGCTGATTAGCAGAAATATTCTGCTTACCCTTTAAGTCTTTGCCTAGGAGGCCTCTTACAAGACATTAGCTTTAACATCTGCCCAAGATGAGTCATTTAATTGAGACACTATCTCTAACCTTTACTCAATCAAGAGCCTCAAGGCAGGGGAATTTCAGCTGGATGCAGATGCAACACCTGCATCCAGCTAAATTTATTTCATGATTATAATTTTTATTTAACAAATTTATTTAATTATCATAACTTAATAATATTAAGTTCTTCAATGTCTACTAAGTGTTTAAAAATATGTAGTTATTGATGAAAACTTTGAAAAACCTAATATGTATCAAATCTGCTTAAGCAGTAAAGAGACACTGGGTCTCTTTGCAAGATAGAACAATGCTGGTAAAAAATCATTTATATCATTAAGGCTTAATTATATTTTCAAGAAAAGTCAATCAAGCAGAACCTTTTAGTTTAAAAAAAGAAATATTTTGCAATCAAATAAACTAAGAACAGGTTTTGAAAAAAATTATAAAACCTTTCTATTTAAAATAGAAATCCCGACCCTGCCCTTTAGGTCTACTTTTTATCTTATTACTACACTTTAATAACACTTGTATAACACCTGATAATCTAAATTAATGATTTTATTATTTTCATTATGTTAAATTATGACCTTTAGATCAATTTATGACACTGCTAAAATAAGATAATATAAACAACATTCATAATATATACATGAACTAATAAACATTAATAAAGCTAACCTTATAATAAGGTTGAAAAATTTTAAAAATATAGTTTCACCTTAAGTATTACCTATTATTGCTAACTTTTTCTAATTTAATTACATCATAGTCCCATTGATCCTCACCCTGTAGAGCTGCTTGAATGTCTGGAGAAGCTTGCATGACTTGAAGAACTTTATGGCTATTCAACAGATTGCTACCTAATTTGAAAAACATGATGAACACATAAAAACATTTGCAATAAAATTAAAAAAATCAACATAGTAAAACTGTCTCTTTTTTGTTCTTCTTCAGGTTACACTGAAAATTCATTGTGAAAATGCATTTGTTTGTAAAAAATAGAAAGTATTATGATGCAAACACACAAATATCCATAACACTAAACATAACTATAGTTAAAGTTGTCTAACAAGTAAAAATTTTACTCACATAACTACAGTTGAAGCTGTCTATTAAATATACATTTTAATAAAAATTTTAATGGGTAATTGGAATCAGAAATTTCCATTTTGTCATAAAACAAACTTGCTTTTAACTACTACTAATTATTTTTATCAAATGTTATAATATCAATATAAGTATGCATGATATTCATAAGAATTAATATGTTAATGACATCATATAATAGTAGTTATTAACATAATATGTAAAAAGTATTATAAAACTAAACTTAGACATCAAGACCATTCATTATATAAATTATAAAACATATTGGAAAGTACATATTGCATCATTTTGCCTTAAATATTTTCTTCATTTAAATTTTTTTATTCCTTGTATCTTAACTTGACACTAAAAAAAAAATACAATTTTTAAATTTTGACTTTTTTTGCAAAGTTTTTTTGAATTTTAAAATAAAATGTAATAAAAACACTTTTCATATTTGATCCCTCGAGACAATTTAAGATTACATTTTTACATACTGAATAAGATGGGCTAACAATGACTCTTCAAGGGTAACTTAAGCCCAAAGTTGAAAATTCTCAAAAAATTGTATTCTGACAATAGGATTGAGATATTAACTTAGTTCATGCATCACTTTTACATCGCCACACTAGTATGACTTCTTATTTGATGAATATGTAAATCTGAATTATTAGATTTAAAAATAAAAAAATTAAAATTAAACTTTTTTAAAATACCAATGTAGTTTTCCCCAAATATAGGGTGGGTCTAGGATAATGGGGAAAGACTTTCAAAATGTTTTTACTTAATAGTAATAATAATTTTGAACTATTTTAATTAGAAGTTAATTCCGTAATTAATACTGAGCCTTTATTTACTATCAGATGAGCTGCTGATGGCTTATGTATCAGTAAAACCGCTTCATTAAAATCCTTACTTATTTTAGAAATTTCAATCAGTAAAAGCTGCAACACCTCTTCTGGTAGTACTGATTTACTTACAGACTTCAAATGTCTTTTCAAAATAATACTGGTAATATAAGGATTCTTTTTGATGATTTCTTAAAGATTCTCTTTTGACTTTAAAATACAAGGTATGTCACCCTCTCTTTAAGCCACCCTCTCTTTAATGCCACTCTCTAATTAATTCTGGCATTTCTGATACGTTTGAGAATTTCCTAGTAAGTTCTTTAAATTTAAAATCAAATTTATGTTCTAACCAAGAAATTGACTTTCTTTAAAAATTATATTTGGAGTATTGAACATCCTTCTTTTTTTGTTTGTGTGGTTTGTAATGTTAAAAAAACTAATTCTTTTTCTTGAGCACCAAAACGAATAAAAAGCCATGCGTATTCAGATTCTTACAGAAAAATTTAATAAAGTCACATTAAAAGATCTTTCTTCGCATCTTTGCAGCAAGATATCATTTTTTTAAAAATATTTTACATTAAACTATAAAAATGTGTTTGATATTCTTTGGATTAATATATAATAAATGGAAGTTTGCAAGTGTGGTTTGAAAAATAAAATAAAAGTTCAATATTATCGGGGGTTTTTTTTACTAAAAATTTATAAAAAAACTTCTAATAATGACAACTGAGCAGTACAGTGGGATGAAAAACAACAATTTTTAAAATTGCATTTCAATACCTCTAAATGTATTCTTTATAAAAAAAATAACACTAGAAATA